TTTTAGTACATATCTTTGGAACATTTTACTTACTTCGTCTTTATTACAAGTCCGACCAAATTGTTTAGTGGTGCTTCTATAAATAAAGTCATGTACAAACTGGCTATACTAGATACAACCACAATGCCACATGAATCTTGAAACTGAAATAAAAATTAAGAATTAAAAAAAGTTAAGCAACTACATAAAAATTGCATAGAAACGAATCGTTGCGATTGAACTATGATTTTTATGATTCATAGAACATACTAGACTATTTTACTAATATTATAAATGCAAATGTTTAGATGGATGGACGTTTATTACAAAGTATCTCCAGTCCAAAATGATGAAATTGAGCAAAAATATAGAACATAGTCTGTATTCCGCGCACACAGGGTCACGGGCGACAGCCACATTATAAAGGTCTTATTTATTTATTTTTACTAGAAATTCAAATGAGAAGTTATCAGCAATATTGTAACTTAATACAAATCCAAACAAAGACTTAAGATACTTACAACTTTATAGAAATCATGCCAGGCTTGAGAACGCAGTGCGAGTGTCAATCTCATGACGAGAACGAAGTGACACATGTAGATTCCAAAGGAAAGTTTACTTAACGGCGTGAACACAGTCCAGCTGAGTAAGTCCGGGATGAGAGCTGAAAGATAAACAAACGGTTGTAACACTCCTGAAGACGATTTTAGATTAATGGGCGAATTTAATAATTCTAAAGACCTAAAAAACCATAATTAGTAGCCTATGTGTTCTTCCAGACTATGTTCTACATCTGTGCCACATTTCAGTGAGTTCCATGCCACCGGTCTGTAGATGCTTTCTAACAAACATCCATCCATCCATCTGTCTAAACATTCCAATCTCTTCTTATATAATATAAAAGAAAGTCGTGTTAGTTGTTACACTATTTATAACTCAAGAACGGCTTTACCGATATGCCTGAAAATTGGTGACGAGGTAGCTTAGAGCCAGGAGACTGACATAGGATACTATTTATTAATTTTTTTTCGAATTTATGCCTTTAAGAGTTGCTTTTTATTTAACTTATTTGTATATTAAGTTCTTTATATATCCACGCGGACGGAGTCGCGGGCGACAGCTAGTTTATAATATTAGTAAGAAGTAAACAAATTGATTGTACTGCTAAGGAGGAGACATAGGAGTAATTTGAACTGGATTTTGATAAATGAGGTAGGTAGGAGGTGAGATTAATCTTCTCCTTAATGTCGTAGGGTCAGTAGAGTTAAGGATTTTTAATAAACAAATAACATGATATACTAACGCAATGTTCCATATTCGCAAAGTAATATGAATGCAGCATTCAAAGCTGCCCAGATCGATCTGTTAGTGGCTGCAAATACAGCGGATTCTAACGCGTTATATTCTCTGAATCTGTACGCTGGACCCATCACAAGTACTCCCAGACATAGTGCCATTATTGTTATGAAGCTGATGATTGAATATTTCTGAAAGGGAATTTTATGTATGTTAAATAATTGAATAGTGGCTTTATACGCCTACGAAGAGATGGATGGATTGCGTGGAAAGTTTTCTTTTTATATCATAAGATGGCAAACGAGCGAGCGGCCACCTGAAATCGTTGAAATAGCGAAGTGACCGTTGCCCATAGACTTACGCAATTGCATATGCGTTGCCTACTTTTAATCGACAGAGGAGAGGATGCACAGAAAAAAAAATATCCCTTCCCATGCATCCTCTCATCCGAAAAGTCCACTTCCACTTCCCATCGTTTCCTTATAAGAAAAAAGGGGAAGTGAATGAGGACTAAATTAGACCTCCGGGACGCACACTCATCAGACTTTACTTGGAATTGCTTCCACTTGAGGCCTGTCTTCTGTGTGGTCGTGGTATTTCACCGGACGAGCCGCGACAATTCGTACGAAGATGTTAAAGCGAGCTCTACCACTGTTAAAGGTGACATGATTAAAATGCAATGACTTAGTTGACTTGATGAGTTATCAAAGAAATATATCAAGCATGTTTATTAGTAAATCAGACGCCTTACAGATTAATAATTAATTACTTTTAAATAAGGATAAAATGCAATTTTTTAGAATTGCTATTTCAGACATAAGAGCGTCGGTGGCTCAGTGGTCAAGCACTTGACTTGCAATCTGCAAATCCTGGGTTCGGAACCCGCCATGTACCAATGTGTTTTTCGATTTCCGATTTACATATGTACATTTATCCCGCGTTCTTACGTTGAAGGAAAACATCTTGATGCTGCGCATATCTGCGAAGAAATTCAATGATATGTGTGAAGAAAACCCGCACTGGGCCAGTGTAGTTGACTATGGCCTAGTCACCTCTTACGTAGGGTAGGCTCCGAGCCCCTCAGTAGGGACGTGTAGTGAGCTGATGATGATTTTAGACATTACGCATAAT